GTGGATATACTATCAAAACTTTTCTGCCAACAAAATTGCTCTACGACTAACACATTCGCAATATAATCACCATTTCACAACTTTTTTTAGAGTTTACCAATATCTTATGAGTTATGAATTATGTACACGTACGAAGGTTAAAATAGAACAAAACAATACCTTACACAGATGAATGTTCATTTTAAATTGAATTTGATCAACTGTAGAAATTATTTGAAATGTATTGGTAAAAAGGACCTTTTAACTGTATATTGCATATATATTTGCATTACATTTAGTAATTTATATATATATATATATATATATATATATATAAGGTAGTGTTGATGTCTTGATGGAGCAGCATAACCACCCACAATCATAAACATTGTGAATAGAAAATCATGAATATATTAACTATTAGCTTCCAAACTGTTGGTGTTATACTTCAAATTGTATCGTTTTCTCATGTTGGTAATTTTTTCTTATGTTAATATAATGTATTCTTCTTTTTTTTTGGTTAAGGAAATTAAATATATATATCTCCAAACTTATTAATTAAGGTGTACATAATTTGAACATTTGCTTTCCTCAAAAATTTATTCAAAGTTTGATTGAGAATAACCATGTATTTTTGATATATAGTTATATGGGAATCTACAACTCATGTACTCGGTTGATCGATTAATTAAGTAGACCAACCTCTTCTTTTAAAAATTAGCTCTCAAAATTGCTTCCAACTTTAGCCCTATATACCTCTTAGTCTGTAGACTTTTATTTGCCCAGAGAAATCAGAAAAAAAAAATCTTTAGGATGGATTTCATCTTGTCTTGGGCGTTATATTTTTTTTGGGCAAAATCTTCTATCACCACAAAATTTTTGATTTAGGTCATCGTAAACTCCGGCGGGGAAGCCATGGGTTCTGCTTTTCTCCCAAATCCGGTAATAAACCTCGCCGAGAGTGGCTCGGATACACAACAACATTCTGAACTTGTCTAATCTTGTCCACAACTCCCGTTCCTTCCAAAACCTTCCCAATCACCAAAATCGAGTCCTCCAGCTCCGGCGAATCAACCGCCGTTATTACAAACTCCGTTCCGTTTGGTCACACCGCATTAATGAACGCTTTCTTAGTCAGAACCTCATTTGGGGGAAGAAATCGAAAATTTAAAGTATAATCAAAGAATGAAAAAAATATTACGTAGTTGAGAGATAGATGAGAGAGAGGGAAAGATAAGAAGAAGAAGAAGGGAAGGAGAGAGACAAAGGTTCGTGGAAGAAGAGGTGTTGTGAGCATATTATTATTATTATTATTATTTTTATTTTTTTTTGTAAACCTTGAGAATATTATCTAACACAATGTTTTTAAGTATAATATTATCTAATACAAATATTGTTAGCTCGATACAAATATAACATAATTTCAGTAACTATTGATTAATATCTAATTATAATTTTTTTAAGTCTGATCGGTTATAATATCAACTATAACATTTATGGTTATTTATTTGGTTAACTATGTAAATCTTATCTTACCGGTATATGTTATAAGTTAATTGATAAATTCATAGTTATCTAGTTAAATTTATAATTAATCATATGTTACCGTTATAAATTATAAGTTATTTGATAAACTCATAAATATCTAGTTAAATTAATTATTATATGAGTGATATCAACTAACATATATATATTTACGTACTTGTACAAAATATTTATATTACTAATTTATATAAGTACTCAATTTAAAGGATAATATGTAATTTACCGCGATAACATATTATTTAACATGTTTTTAAAAAAGTTATCGAATGCTTTTAATCACTTATGAACAGTGTTATTGAATTCATGGAAATATATATCGATTTGAGTTTATAAAACAGTGCTTAGGCTTTAGATTTTATAAATAAACAAAAATGTATTTTTGTTTGTGTTTAGTGGTTCGTGTTTAGATTTTGTAATTAAACGAAATTATATTTTTGTTTGGGTTGACAAAATAGTGGTTAGGGTTTAGTTTTTGTAAATAAATGAAATTATATTTTGGTTTGGGTTGACAAAATAGTGGTTAGGGTTTAGATTTTAATTAAATGAAATTATATTTCAGTTTGGGTTGACAAAATAGTGGTTAGGGTTTAGGTGTTGTAATTAAACGAAATTATATTTCAGTTTGGATTGATAAAATAGTGGTTAGGGTTTAGAGTTTATAATTAGTCGAAATTATATTTTGGTTTGGGTTGATAAAATAGTGGTTAGGGTTTAGATTTTGTAATTAAACAAAATTATATTTTGATTTGAAAATCATTAGTATAGAGATAATAGGAAATATAACTGATAACTTTAAATTTATTTGGACTTTTTATTAGGAAGTTAGACTCTAACTTATTTGGCTAACTTTACAATTATGTAATAATATCTTCTTTACCCAAGTCATCAATATCTCACTCTGTTCAAAAGCGGGTTTGCCCGTAATACACACAACTTTATTTTTTATTTTTTATTGTTCTTTAACTGAACATAGGGATACTAGTGTAATTTTGAATGTGTCAGACCATAAAAACTAATTTTTCTTTTAACAAGTCTACTTTCTTTATTTTTTTGTTATCTGAGTATTTAAATTTAACTCACCCTAGTTATATTCATTATCTTAAAATTTAAAAGATATCCATCCCCTACTCTAACTTCTCAAAGCTTGAAAAGATATCCATCCCCTAAAATCTATACTCAAAATATAAATAATCAACCCAAACAATGAAAAAAATAATTCTACATCTTGATCCTAAGTTAGTATTAATTAACTATTCCCTAATATTTCTAAAATTTTGTTTCCACGATTATTCAAAAATATTAACTTATATGATCCCTAAAAAGTAGCTACTTTGCGAGCTAAATATTTTACGATTTTATATTGCCATTGTCTTTAATACAAAACATTATATTATACTAGTATAGTACCCGTCCGATGGACGGGTTATGTTTATTTTAAAATTAAATTAAAATTAAAATTTATTATAACTTATAAAAAAAATAATTTCTAATTTTTTTTTGAAAAAATAAGAGAAATTAATTTCATTTGGGAAGAGATTTTATTTGGTTTGAAGTATCAAATAAACGTGTATATATATATATATATATATATCTCTTTCTTAAAATTTGTTATTAAACGTTAATTATAAAAATCTAGTAATGTCAAACTGACAATCACCAAAACATTTGGGAGCTATCTGAGAGTTATTCGCCATTACCACAATATTGCTAAAATATTTTTAAAAATCTTAATTTAGCAATTATCCTCTAAACATGATTATACCATTTTGTAAAAATTGCTATTTCTTAACTTTCAATTTTTCAAAAAATCATTCTCAGACTATGAAAATTAATTAATTATTATTTGATATGATGGTAAAGTTCTTTCAAATTAACATCAATCTAAAATATGAGGTTAAATACAAATATAGTCATTTGTAAATAAATTCATATAAACAACGCAAATAAACATAAATATTCTAAAATAAATTATAGTATCTTTGAGGAAATTATTAAAAAAATCTTTCAAATACGAATTATAAAAAACTACATATTTTTAAAAAATAGCGTAAAATAACTTATAAATACATTTTTAAAACCTTTTAAAAACCTTATAAACCCTTTAAAAACCACTTAAAAACATTATAAAACTTGTAACAACGATTTAAAACCTTTTAAAACGTTATAAAATATTTGTATCAAATTTCCAAGTAGTAGTTATTATATAGAATACCTTATAAACCATATAAAACTTTATAACTTTTCATATTTAAACATGGATATTTTTGAAAATTAATAGATAAAGGAGGTATTTTTGAAAAGGGGTACACCAAAAAGGGTATTTCTCAAAAATTCTCTTTACTTTTTTATAATTATTTTTTAATGTTGTTTAAAAATTCAATTTGTATCTTAATATTAACAAAATTAGATATAACATGTTGCGACATCTTATATTTTTACTTGACACTTATCATGATCACGTGAGTTAGTAAATTTAAAAACTAAGTTTCGACATATAATCTCGTTTAATTGTTAAATTTACAAAAACTGCCATATATTCTTGTTAATTATAAACTTTAAATCCCTATCTTATTAATAAACCAAATTGACATAACTGAAATTAGGTTATTTGTTTAATTTTATTAATAATGTTTAATATATAATTATTTATAATATTTATTTTATATATTTCCTTTTTCGATAAGGTTAATAATATTTGTATTTTATCCAAATATTAACAAAATTAGTTATGACACGTGTCAGTCTTATCATTTATAATTGACACGTGTCAATCTTATCATTTATAATTGACACGTGTCACGATCTTCATAATGGCTGAATTTGAAAACCAAGGTTTATATAATAAGATTTGATGTTTGAGTTGATTTAGTTTTATCTTCTTGTAGGATATAATAATTGTTATTAAATGTGTATTGTATGAAAAAAATTTCTCAAATATTTATTTTTTAAAATGGCATATTAAAAAAAAATTTGGGAAAACAAAAGAATTAGAAAATTGTGAGCCAAAAATGGCGTTTTCCATAATACTCCCCTTATTATTTCCTTATTAAATGAAATAAAAGTAGAAGATAATATATACTGAGTTTGACCAACAATGTTACACCAACATTATGTCACGCTTTGGGGAATCCTGAAAGATAGAAAATGATGAACAGTCTTGGTAACCAATTGATTCAGGTAGTAGTAAATATGATATTGTCTGCCTTTTGTTGTTATCCAAGGCCTGATCCTGACATTGTTACAAATAAAGTTATACACTTTGAAAACTCATAAAATTTACAATACTTGAAAATATAGTATAGCTTATTTCTTCAATTGGATTCAATTAAGTTATACTATAAGATAGTCACCTTTAACTCAACGTATAGAACATATAACAATAATAAGTCCATGAGATGATCACGACAAGAAACTATGGAAATAACACTTTAAACAGCCAAACGTATAGAACTAAAATATCCATTGGAGGCACTCTCTCAGTATTTGGAGTGCTTGATGTGGCAAGAGTATCGAAGAAGAGGAACGAAGAATGGGCTCTTGAACAACATGTGAACATGGCTTTTGCACTTCTTGTCCAAGTTTACAACGATCTTACAGCACTCATTGTCCAATGCATAATCTTTCTTTGTCCAGCTCGACAATATCTGTGAAAAGCATTTCTCTGATGTCTTTGATCCATCTTTCCTCAAGCATTTCTCCACTTCAGCCGATTGGGACACAACTCGAGAGTTCACTCGCGGTAGAGGAGGCAGTTCCGGGAGTCTAGGAAGGTCCGGGAGGTTAGGAAGGCTTGGAATGTTAGGAAGCCCTGGGATGTTCGGTATTTGTGGGATAGTAGGAATCCTTGGTATTTGTGGGATACTAGGAATCCTTGGAATGTTTGGTATTTGCGGGATGCTGGGAAGTCCCGGAATAAAGGGGAATCCCGGGATGTTTGGAAGTCCCGGGATGTTAGGAAACCCCGGTAGCAACTCCGGAGACGATAGAGGCGCGTTAGCCTCTGATAAAGAAGAGCTAGCCGAACGACGAACATTGGAGTCTCCAAGGTGGCCAGAGGCTAGTTTCAACGGCTTATGCCACGGTTTCTTTGGTAAACCAATTGTTGAAATAGGGAGAGAGAGGAAACATAGCAAAGTTACAAGGAGTGTTGTGGTTAAAATGAAGCTCCTCATGATTAGAGCACAAACAAAAAGATTTGTGAAGAGTGAATGAACTAGTTTGTGCACGGATACAATTTTGTGTGACGGTACTACTTTATATAAGAAGTGTCTTTTCACCTATTCTTCTTTACTATAGAGAAAGCTAAGTTATATAAACGAGCATAAACATTATCTATATAAATACATTTTTGCAACTTTTATTTCATTAAGAAATAAAGTATATATTTTTCCCTAATCACGTCGTTTACATTTCACTAAATATCAGGTCACGAACTTAATGTGATCATATCTTAAGATGCTAATATGTAAGAAACATTTTTTTTTTGTATCGACCGATCGATGTTAAGATATGCATAAGAAAAAAATAACATTAGGACTTCCCTGTTACATAACTAAAGAGAGAGCTATAATTGGCCTAAAACTAGGGCAAAATAGTTTTCGATTTATCCATGCGTGATTTAAGTTAAATAATGTAATATTATGAAAAGTATGTCATGTAATAAATTAGTAAATTATTTATAAAAAAATTGTAAGAGTATTTATAAATATTGTTTAGTATCACACTCTTAAGAGATTCAATGGATGTATATATGTCTTCTTGGAGTCTAAGGCATAAGTGTGAGTCATACACGAATCTCATTCATTACATGATCTCTGCACATGACAAAACCAAATAAAGATAAGTATATATAAAAACGATAACTAATATAAAAAAAAAGAATAAACCAAAAAAAAATCAATTATTGTGAAGGAAACAGGAATCAAACATATACAGTTTGATAATATATGAAAATAAATTTGATAATTGATCTGCGATTGCATTACACTACCATCCCACATTCCCAATTGAGCCAATAATGCATTAGGAAGCTTTTGCATTCAAGTTCCAAAATATTTCTCATTCTATAATGCCTTATTCTATTAAAAAATTGTTATTCCAATTAATTTTCTTATTTTATTTTTATTGAAAATTCTCTTTTCATTAGATATAATATAATGTACCTTACACTCATATACTTTGCTTCTTTACTTCATATATTTAGGCTAACAAAAAAAAAATGGTGATCGGTATTATGATTCTATAATTTATACTTACGGTACCAAATCATAATTTTGTCAACTACTAGATTCGTCTCTCACGAAGATTCAGTATCTTGTGCGTATATTAAGTGTGCGTGTGTGTTCCCATGCAAGTCGTCAAAGTAACCAAGTCTTCTCTATTGACATATACTTTACTGTTTTTTTGTTTGTTTTATGAATGGACCAAAATCTAATTATGAATTATGCTTATAGGTTTATCTGTAATTTTTTTGTCATAAGACTAATTCTATATCTATAATCATCGATAGTAAACCTAACCGTTTTTATATTTAATAAAATGTTATATTTTTGATGATATTTATAGGTTTTTAAGAACCTACTAATCTTCAAAATCAAAATCGGACTTCATAGTTGAAACGTGAAATTAAAAAAAAAAAAAAAGGAGAAATAACTATTTAAAAATGAATAAAAAAGTAAACAAAAGAGTGAGAACAATAAAAAATAATTAATTTAAAAAAATGGGGTTTATATAGATTTTTTAAAGAAAATGCTATTTTAAAAAATTATATTTTAATCAAAATTTTGAAAATCGCACACAAATAATTTGAGACAGCTAGTTTGTTGTCAACTACAAGTTTTATTTTTTGTTTGAAATCATTTACAATATCCGATACCAAGATATCGGAGATCACTTAAGATATATGCTTGTAAGATATGCATGTGAATTTTGGATATGATAATCAATAAGGTGATTGAGATTTGCAAACAACGACCACAGAATAAAACAATAATTTAAATGTTCACTGGTGTTTCTCTCTGGCAAAAAAAAAAACAATAAATCAAAGGTCTATATATATAACATAACAATCTCACTCTTTGAGTTATTATTCATCTTAATTGGTTTCATTTACTAGTTTCTCTCTTCTCTAATTTTTCAGCATATATATATATATATATATATATGGCGTCATCTATGTTTACATCTCCATGCAAGATCCCGTCTATGAAAGGTTTCGGACAGAAGAGCAACTTCGGACGTAAAACAACCTCGTATAATGTCAGAATCAATCCTTTTCGAAGTCTAGAAGTTTCTTGTCAAGTGCAAAAGATCGACTCGACCTTAATACGGCCGGTCATTGCTCCCGAGGCGCCTCTATTGTCTAGTAAACCAGCCACACCTCTTCTTGATCATCAGCCCCTTGTAAGTGAATTTATTTCAAACCCAAAACATTTGGGGGGGGGGGGGAGGCTAGTAGTTCTGAATATTTTTATTTTGGATTGGTGATCTTTTTCGATAGAAATATATATTGAATATGAATTGAACAAAAAAACTCCCGAAAAGGGGGGGGGGGGGGTTTGCTAGTGGTTCTAGTCTGGTGGAAGAGTCGCCATGTTGGTCTAGACCAAAGATCGATTCTCTCTAGGCGCAGAATTGCTAGCTTTATTCCTTTGGCCACATGGATATGGACCATTTGATAAACCGGGAGGAAGGAGACTCTACTCGTGAGGTACCCTCTCCCCAAGGATTAGTCTCGGATCCTTCCATAGGTTTGGGGATTTACTCTAAATTATCCAAAAAAAGAAAAAAAACATTTTGGGGGCTAACACTTTCTATTTCTTGGTTTTTGCTTTAAACTTCTTTTGTTAGCTTCAATATATCTAATTTGAATTGTGTTTCAGGAGCTAAACCGACGTCCTCGTCGTAACCGGAAGTGTCCTACACAGAGAGCTGCCTTTCAAGAGACTAATGTATCTCCTGCCAATTTCATATACCCTCTCTTCATTCACGAAGGTTAGATTAATTAAGTTTTGATATATGATTATTCGTTATTATTTATTAGTTTAGGTACGTGACAAATGGGATCCTTGCAGGTGAGGTAGATATTCCCATAAGAGCAATGCCTGGACGTTACATGCTTGGTTGGAGACATGGCCTCATCGAAGAAGTGAGTATTGTATCTTTATGAAAACTTAGAGACAAAAATTTGATGTTTTCTTCTCATTTACTTGTTGTAATTAAGAATGAAGGATTCTTCTTGGCTAACTCTTGTGTGTGTTATGTTTTGAGAGAATAGGTTGCAAGGGCACGAGATGTTGGTGTGAATAGCATAATGTTGTATCCTAAAGTTCCTGAAGTGTTAAAGGTTTGATAAGTTTCTTCTTAATTATTATCAACCCACATGAGTTTCTTATACAACAATTAATCAACCTTTCCTTTTGTATAGTCTCCAACAGGGGAAGAGGCGTTTAACGACGACGGTCTAGTGCCTCGGACAGTTCGTCTTCTCAAGGACAGATTCCCTGATCTTGTAAGATACATATGTCCTCTTTGCTTAATTACTAGCTAGAACAAGTGGTCATGAGCTTGGTAATGACTCTTTTCTTATTAACTTCTCTAGGTTGTCTACACTGATGTCAATTTTGATGAGTACTCATCAACCGGGCATGGTGGGATTGTAAGAGAAGATGGTAAGAGATCTACTTTGTACTTAAAAAAAAAAAAACTAAAAGAATACAAGCAACATTCTTAGTAATTTCTAAAACATTCATCTATGTTTTATAGGTGTTATATTGAATGATGAAACAATTCACCAATTGCGGAAACAAGCGGTTTCTCAGGTAAAAATATAACCCTTTTGAACAAAAGAAACAATATGTTTAAAATTCTAATAAGAAGAGTTGATGCAGGCGCGAGCTGGAGCAGATGTTGTTTGTACGAGTGAGATGCTGGATGGTCGTGTAGGCGCGGTTCGTGCAGCTCTAGATGCTGAAGGCTTTCAGCATGTTTCCATCATGTCTTACTCTGTCAAGTAAAATACTACTTACCATCTTCACCATCTTACTTTATTTGTTGTTATGTCCAACCTAATTAATTTTAACCACTCCACCAACAGGTATACAAGTTCATTATATGGCCGTTTTCGCAAAGTCGCATTGGACAAGAAAACGTAAAGACAACCTCACATTTGCACTAAACCATAATCTATATATGTGTTACATCTATAAGGTTTATTACCATGGCCTAACTAATTTGTTGTTGTTAAATGGTGGGAAAATAAAAAGTTATCAGATAAATCCCGCGAATTCAAGAGAGGCATTGCTCGAAGCACGCGAAGACGAAGCTGAAGGAGCTGATATCCTAATGGTGAAGCCAGCAATCTCATCTCTAGATATCATACGGTTACTAAAGGACCAAACTCTACTGCCCATTGGAGCTTGTCAAGTTTCTGGTGAATACTCTATGATCAAAGCTGCTGGACATCTCAATATGATCGATGAGGAAAAAGTTATGATGGAGTCATTGATTTGTATACGCCGAGCTGGTGCTGATCTTATTCTCACATACTTTGCTCTTCAAGCTGCTACAATATTATGCGGCGAAAATAGAAAATTTATATTCAACTAGTCATTGGATTGTTTTTGTTTTCGTTTTTTTGTGTGTGTTAATTTCATGTTACAAATGCATAAATTCATGTCAAATAAGTTTACAAGATTTATCATTCAAAAAGAAAACTACTCTTATTAAGTGTTCACTAAGAAAAAAACACAATTATTATCTTAATATCCTAGCTATAATGCATAAATTAGTTTGTGTGACAAACTTCTTTCATACTCCTTCCGTTTAATTTTAAATGATGTTTTAGTAAAAGAAAAATTGTTTCATTTTAAATGAGGTATTAATTTTTTTATGCAAAAATTATATGTATTTAGTACTTTATTTTAAGCAATCATATTTTATATCATATTCTCTTATTGGTTGAATTCATTTTAGTTAATGATATTTTTATGAAAAATAAATAAATAAAATGTTTTCTTAATTTATGTATAACAACTTTAAACATTAAAATGAAATTGATGGAGTAATATTTTGTCCATTTCATCTATATATATTTCTCCTATATTATTATTATTTATTTATCTTTATTATACTTGTAAACAAATAAAAATAATAAATTCCACAAGAACCCAAATACATCCCACTGCCAACCAAGAAAATAGCAAAACCAGTTCCTCGTCTTTACGTAAAGCTGGCAACATATGTTTATTTTGTTTCTATCTTGTATATCTATTTTTTATTTATAAATTGATTTTCTACTCTAAAATACTAATTTATTAACCATTTTAAACCCTTAAACGAATCTTCATTTGACACTACTAACTATGAATTGTCTCACTTGCAAGCTAAGTGTTAAAATATGGAAGTTGAAATTGCAAAGATCAATATTAGATCAAACCTTAAAGCTACTAATCAAAGAGATATTATAGTTAACTAATCCTTATAAAGTACCCCAAAATCTTGGAAATCTTCCTCGTCTGTATGTTTTCGAATTCCGTAATTTTCTTCTTGGACTTTGTGTATTGTCAACCTTGCAGTTAACTTGAGTTGACGTTACTGTTCTTTCTTTGTTTCATTTGCAAGCAAAGAATCAAATATGAATTGAAACCTATGTTGTGAATAATAATTATACAATCACATTAAGTTTAAGTTAACAAATTCGTTTCAAAATACTAAGACCACACTATTATTGGTGGTTACTTATGTAAGAGTCATTTCTAAATCTTGAACTAATTAAGAGTTAGCTAAGAGACCATCAATAATGGTGGTCTAACATCGTCCAATATATCTTATGATATTAAAATGGGTTTTGTGCAAATAAACCCTCTAAATCGCTATTTTCACGTTTACCCTCTAAATCTAGAAAATGCAAGTCAATTCTGCAAAGTCAAAATAAATACCTAATATAACTCATTTTCGCTTCTATCATGTTTGTAAAAAGTTTAGAAATATAATATATTATATCGAAGCTCTCTTCACTCTAGAAGTTCAAATATATCTTTCGAATTTTCAAAAAAAGATGTATGTGACAGTAAAATCGTTTAGAAAAATAAATTTATCTGGTATACGAGGTGTATTGCATATTATTCTTGAATTCTTATGTCTGTTTTGCATTTTTTGGATATAGAATATATAGTTGCAAAATATGACCATTTGAAGGATTTATTTGCACAAAACCCAATAAAAATCAAGAAAAAAGTTATCCGAAATTATACTATATATAAAGATCGTAATATATATTTTGTACCGCTATATCTTACTCTATACCGCTCCTGCTAAAAAACCATACCGCCATACCAAATATGCGGTTTACATGTTTAAAAAAAAAAAAGATCAAATAAAACTACTCTTCACAAACACTTCCAAGCAAAGATACATTAATATAATTTTGGTAACACCTAAAATATATAACCACCCCAAAAAAAAGTGGCCGGGGGGGATTGTTTTTGTTACTTATAAATTTTTATCATTTAAGTATCTCTCAGCCACAGCTGCATGAACCGCGGCTCCAACGGGTAAACTATCTTCATCGATCATGAAATGTGGTGAATGGCCAATGTGGACTGATCCAAGTTCTTCATTTCTTATGCCAATGAAATAGAACGCGGCCGGGATGATCTCCGAGTAGAAGGCGAAATCTTCAGCTCCCATCATCTGTGGAGCTAACGTGAAGTGGCTATCTCCGAGCAAATCCACTGTGACTTTCTTTAAGTGATTGTATGTTGCGTCGTTGTTCGTTGTTGGTGGGTATATCGCGTTTTGTTTTTCAAAGAAGTTTACAGTCGCTGTGCAACCGAACACCCTGACCTGATCCACGAGTACCTGCCGTTACAAGAGACGCATGGTTTAGTTTGGTAATGTTATAAGGTGGAGCTAGACAAATTACTTGTGTTACATATCTAATTTTGATCCATTGTGATTGTCACGTGGAATAGACCATGCACAGTTTAGACCAGATGAGAGACCATGCACCAAAACAAACCAGACATATGCAATGTATTAATATGGATATTTGGACCAATGTAACTAGATAGAAGTTGAAATTGTTGTTTACAAAACAAAATTTCTGTTTCAATTAATCAGCCTTATTGAAAAATAACATTATTTATAATTCAGTTTGGTTTGATTTTAAGGGAATTCTCCTAAATACCACAAAAAATGGTATTTTTCCAAAAATACCATTATGAAGTTTTTTTTCCAAAAATACCATTAAATTACAAGTTTTTCCAAAAAACCACAAAACTAGAACTTAAATTTTTCACATTCAAAACTAATTTTTAAATCCTAAACACTACACCCTACCCCTAAAAACTATACCCTAAATGTAAATAGTCAACCCAAACATAAAAAAATAAAAAATTCTACATCTTCAAAATTCAATTTTTTATGTTTGTGGTTTTGGAAAAATAAAACTTTTGTAATATTTTTGGAAAAAAATAAATGATGGTATTTTTGGAAAAAAAAACTTAAAACATGCTATCAAAGGGGATTTCTCTTGATGATTTTATCAAAATAAAAATATATAAAAAATAATATAAAAATGTATTTTATAATATAATGTGTATTTATTTTGTTGTCATCAATATAATGTGTATATATAATTGAAAACAATTTTAATCAACTTTGGCTTATTCAGTTTTGCTGTGATTTTTTTAATTCTTATAGTTCTGTTTGGGTTGGTCAAACTGGTTTTGTACGCCCATTTCGAATATTACTTATTGGGTCTAAATTTTCTTGGGCCTTGTTTCTAGACCTTTTGAATTGTGAGGTTTACGTAGTAGTACGAATGCACAAATATATAGCAAGAAACCAAAATCTTAGTCCAAGTGGGTTAATTATAATACGCACCTCTTCAATACGCTTCATAAGGTAGTAGAAGCTTGAGTTAGAAAAAGCTCTGTAAGTACCACCGAGGACCACCGTGTCTGGCACCACATCTAGACTATGACCGCCATCAAAAGAAGTTACCGAGACAACCTACATATCGCGAAAATGCGAATCAGAATCCATCTTTTTTTTTCTTTCTTTCAAATATCTTGTTTTGGATTTTAGGAATCACCTGAGAGTCAAGAGGACTAGCTTCACGAGATACAATGCCTTGAAGGCTAATAACAGCGGAAGAAGCCGCAAGAATAAGATTAGCCGCGCCACTACTATCTTCCGCGGTGATAACAGCCCGGAAAATCCCACATCCAGCGAGCAATGGACCACTTCTTGATCCAATCACACCCGTTGGATGGATATGAGACACATGGACCGCGAATATAGCCTCTACGTCCTCCAAAGCTCCGTCTTCGATCATGTTCTTAGCACCATTTCCAGCTTCCTCGGCCGGTTGGAATAGTAGAACAACTGTTCCCTATAAAAGTTCACAAATGTATTAATGTATGTTTATGCCTTGTAATAAGAAAGGGACTAATCTATATGTTTTGATCTCTGGTCCAACGAAACTATGGGCCTAACTCATCCATTACCAACAAAATATTTTTAAAAAGTTGGATGTTATCCCTTATCTTTAAAATGCAAATCATTAGTTCACATCACTTGTCACTATAACACAGCAAACAGTGACCCACCAAGACAACTTCCACATTATTCGAAAAGACACATTCACTTTAAAACCAATCAAATAAACAATGTTAGAAAAAGAAAAAAACCCAATGAGTTTGATGATAGATGAAGTACCTTGAGAAGATGTTCACGAGACTTAAGAATATGGGCAGCACCAAGAAGCATAGTCACATGTGCATCATGACCACATGCATGCATTTTCCCTGCAACTTTGCTTTTATGTTCCCATTCAACTGCTTCCTATTTTTGCATAACCACAACAAACTATTATGTCAATATAAAAAAAAAATCCTCGAAAAAATCTCTATACGTTAGCTATAACCATATGGTCCATATCACCTCAACCACACAATCTATCATTATCATCATATATGTATCATCATGTGACACAGCCTCTGTGTCAGCCAAGTAACTTACCAATATCAGTACACAATATTTCCTAAAATAGAATATTTCACATGGGTCACATGGAACTTATATATTTTTTTGGTAAGACATGGAACTAATTATATAATGTAGTTTTTTTTTTTTTTTAACTCAGGGTAAATCCCTAAACCTATGGAAGGGTTCGAGACTACTCACTGGAAAAAGGTGGAAAACCTTTCCCCTCCTCCAGTGTTTCAAATGAGCTTTAAGCAAGAGGCCCATACCCATGTGACTAAAAGAATAATGCTAGCAATTCTGCGTTTGGAGATATATAATGAAATTTAAACGTACTAATGCCAATATAATCGACAAAACAAGAATTTGTACACTGAACAACCCACACACAATTAGCATAATTTTCAGAATCTTTTCACTTTCCTTACAAACAATATATATTAAATCTAAAGTCTTATACAAAGATTAAACATAAACAAAAGTCTCACTGTTTCATATAATACAAATATGACCAGTACGAGAGTGGCAAGTGTGCTAAAGCACGTGAAAATCATGTAGTGTTTAGCTACAATTTTTAAATGTTCACATGGACCTTAGTCCCACATTTTTTACTGTACAATTTTGGCGGCCCAAGTAACATGAGCCACCCATATCTAGTTTGTATTAAACTATGTAATATACGTAGATATGTATGTATGTACTATAATATCCTAGACGAAAAAGCAAATACGTAATTAAGAAAACGTTTATACAAATTGTCTCGGTTTGGATTTTACCTGAATTGGTAGTGCGTCCATATCAGCCCGAACCGCAACAAAAGGCGGTCCACCGGATCCGATCCAAGCCCGAATACCCGTTTTGGCCAACGGATACCTATACATAATACCCATACGGTCAAGCTCCGACCTTATAAGCCTACTAGTCTCAACTTCTTCAAAAGCAAGCTCAGGATTCTCATGGATCGTCCTCCTAACGCGTTTAAGCCACGCAACGTTGTCGGGCTCGTAAGTCAACCTAAGAATCTCATCGGAACAGGATTTGGTCCAGACCAAACACTCATCTGAACAAACACGAGTCGTTTGGCCCGATGATTGGTTCTTGGTTTGTGTCGGCCGTAACAACATACCAAAAGGGTTGTTGTTGGTGTTGGTGTTGGGATATTTCACTTCAAGAAAGGGTAGGTTGGTCGTGGTGGCTATGGTGAAGGAGACAAGGATTATGGTTAAAGAGACAGAGAAGAGATTAAGTTTCTTGAGGTTGTCCATAGCTTTCTTGAGATTCTTGTTCTTGTTTGAGAGAGAGAGAGAGAGAGAGAGAGATAAAGGAAGTTGAGTGAGGAGAGAGAGAATTGAGCATGTGGGCATAAAAAGGGTAAAGAGAGAGGAGAGAGAGGAGATGAGAGAGAGAGGAGTGAATTAAGTCACGTGGGTTAATTAAGCGTCGAATCGTAACGGCTGGAGTGGACAGACCACTTTACACGGAGACTTGTTCAGTCTTGACACGTCTCTTTAGATTTCATTTCATCCATTCTTTTTTTTTTTTCACAAGGCCGGTGGTGATTTTTTAGTTTTTTGTGATCACGTTTTTTTTGTTTTGTTTTGTTTTTTTACTTTTAACTTTTTTTTTTACTTTTACATGTAAAAGAAAATATTGAGTGGAATTTTTTACTTTTAACTTTTTTTGTTCTGTTTTTGTTTTTGTTTTTACTGTTACACTATACCGTGGGTTAAATATTTTTTTCATTTTTTTTATTAAAATATGTAACTGGTTGTTTATGAATTTATATTGATATGTATTTATAAATTTTAATATTTGTTTTGTATGCTTAATAGTAATGTCATGGAATAGTTTGTGGTAGTGAAATTTAATTTATAGCATAATGTTCTTATTTTACAGTAAGTGAAATCACTTAGTATATATATATATATATATATATATATATATATATATAT